TCAATACTGACACTTGAGTGCATGGGTAGCCACTGGAAAATATTAATTTACAATCATGACCGGCACCTCTCATTAACCAGAGATGTGTTAACCCTAATTGGTTCAACAGGGCCCTGCTGCAGCGTGCCGTGCTGCTGACAGACTTTCTTCCAGGGCCTGAGACAGTTTCCTGTGAATGGGAACTTGATGGTGCTCAATTTTGTGCTTTGGGTGTCCAGGCTGGCAGCTGAACAGTAGCATCCATCAGGCCAGGAAGGTATGCAATGCACACCCACCTGGGTGTGCAGCCCATATGGCTGGGTAGACATGGAGATCTACGTATTTGTCTGTTCATGCCTTATGGCCAGCTTGAATAGGAATTAGGCTGAGTAGGAGCGACACTGATTTATACCATCTGCAGGTCTGTACCACAAATCCATGAGCATTCATGCCCTCTGTGCCTCTGCGTGCACTGGGGGGTTGCATGCAGATATGGACTGAGCACACTTGTGGTAGCATTAGGTTGCCCTCAGAACTGTCAGGGTATGTAAACAACACTGCTTTTAATGGGAAAACTGTATATATACGTGCGTGTGTATGGAATACTTATGAGGGTGTGTGAAAAATGTTTCTTGTGCTGTAATGCCAGCAATGACAATTTGTTTTCTTTACCTCAACAAAATCCTCACAACCATCCATTCAAAGCAGTCGTCTTTGGCATGTGCCATAAATATGCATAGTGTATATACAAATATGAGCTGTAAGAGTTGAAATCATCTTGTAATTAAGGTCTATGCCTGACAGTAAGGAAAGCTGAATTTGCTGTTAGACCTTTAGTATCTGTGGAGATAAGACTGCTGTCCACATCCACCAAGGAAAGAATGAGAAATGATGGGTTTAAATTGTAACCTAGATCCTCTTGCTCCAGATTTGGAATAACTTTAGCAGTAAGAATAGTTATGCAGTAAAATAGATTGCCTGAGAAAGTTATTGAATTTCTTCTTTTAGGAAAAAAAAAAAAAGGTAAAAACAAATCCGAGTTTGACAAATATCTGTTGGAACTAGTTAAAGGAAGAAAAAAAGGAGGGTATGTGTTTTGGAATGCTTTTCACTTTTGTTTTCTGGTGCCTTTAGAAGCACAGATGAGTCTCTGCTTCTTACAGCTGAACATGGTTGGATGTCAGCACTGAGTATGCTTGCAGTAACATCATTGGCTACAAATTTATTTGTAAACTCAGCTGGCCCTAATCCCTGTCCTCTGTTTTAATGGTCAAGCTTAAATAATGGCCTTTACCAGACATCATAATTTGACTGCTCCCCTTTTATATTCTGGGACCTGCAATGAAAGACACCCAGCAGAAGGAAGCAGTCTCTTAGTCAAATGATTTTCAAGATCAAGAAAGATTTTTCTCTTCAAAACTTTTTTGTACTTGTGATTTCTCTACTCCTTAATTTTAATTTCTTCTTTTAATGGTGAAGGGTGTTATGAAGTTTTTCATAAAAATTCAATCCAAATGTTAGCAGATGAAAATATTTGATTCTTGCCCTGTTACCTGGATCATGATTGCCCAGTCCCATCCAAGTCCACAGCACTCTTTTGGTCTTATCAGCTCTCCAATTAACCCAGCAATTTCTTTTTGGCAGTCAGATGTCTGTATCATAATTGATTTCCAAACCACTAGCCTTTAAAAGAAAAAAAGCTGTTACTTCTGTCTAATTCCAGAGGACAGTCAACCGTTCTCCCTTTTGTGTAACAAAAACTTTATGATCCCATGTGAAGTTAAAAATATGATTTTGTCTTCCTGTTTCATCAGAAGATGCTGTGAGAGGATGCCTAAAACCCAGGGAATGTGAGAAGAGCAACAACAACCTGCAAAGAAACACATTCCAGTAGCTGACCGTTTGCATGTATGAATAATTCCAGTGAGGCTGTCTGAAAGATTTATTATTTGGCAAAAAGAAAAGGAACAAATGTTGGCTTGTTTGAATGCTTCCACAGTGAATGAGTGTGGCATATGGAGATTGAGAAACAAGGTCAGACTCTCTTACATCTAACTCTTGCTTACCTGTAGCCTGGATACTTGGTATTTATAATATTTGTACCACTGCTGTTTCTTGGAGCATCTTTCACAGAAGCTCAATGGGGAATTTTCCGACAGTTTTGTATTGAAGAGTTTCAGTTTGTGAAATCACAAGAATGTTCCAGGTTGTGGATTTTTTTTTTTTTTTTTTTTTTTTTTCTCCTTAATGTAACATTTTTGGAAGAAGTTTTTGGTCTCAGCTGGGAATTTTTAATGAAAGAGATCAGCTGGACCTGAAAACCAAACAGCATGGTGCCCAAGGGTTTAACCAAGGAAGATGGAAGTCACATAGAAGCCCTTACTCTGGCTCTGTTCCTATAAGCCAAGACTTTTCTCAGGGTTTTTAGGTGGTATATTGTCAGTTTTCTTTTCACCAGTTGAAGTTCTTTCTTCGTCTTTCCTAAGGGGAGTTATGGGGGCGGGGGCTATTACACTTCGTATTAGCTGTCTCAATAATTGTCAAGTGAGGAGGAGATTGGCAGTGTAGGCCTGCTAGAGCACTCACCTGGGATGTGGGAGGTGGCAAATACAGGAACAAGAACAAGGACTTTCCCAATCCAGCCAAATGCCTACCTATTTGTTAAACTTGAATAATTTCCTCTTGTTTTCCCTAGAATGTGTAAAAGCCATAAACCTCACTGAGGTCCATCTAACCAACTTCACTCTATTAGCACCCTACTGAGCACATCCAGGTACTTTGGGCTGCCCTAAGTGGTTTTGGTGGAGAGTATTTGTACATGAGAGAAGAGCAACGGGAGATGTGCAATGATGTACACCATCTGTAGCTTTCTGGTATATGTTCTCACAAAATTAGGTTCTAATAGATGGAAATAATCTGTGACAAGGGGCCATCCATGTTCTTCCAGAGGAACTCCAGAGGCGCTTAAAGGTCTGGGAGTGCTGCATTAATCCTTTTTGGTGTGTTGATAGGACCACTCTCATGATGCCTGAAGGATACTCTAAGTCAAGCTAGGCAGCCAGAGAATTTGACCCCAGAGGTGCTGGCAGAAGGGACTGAGAAGGATATCTATGCAGACATGGTGGCTTTGAACTGGGCCTGCTGTGCCTCCAGCTGTATTGTGTGCTGTGTAATGAAAAATTTTGGCAACATGAGAAAATAGTATGGAATTAGCATTTTCTGGCCATCGCTCTCTTTTTTCAGAGCAACGTTTACTTCAGAGGCAGTTAAAGCAGACAAGCCATTGGTACTGGGGATAGTGAAAAGAAATGAGATAAAGTCTCATGCAAACAAATGTTGGCAGTCAATGGAATTGTACTTCCTTTTTCCAAGGGCTGGATCTGGCATTGTGTCTTACAAGCCTTAAGAGATTTATTACCTCTTTGACTTGATCTGTGGCACAAGATTTATGGCCAAGCTGAAAGCGCCCAGAAACAGCACTTCTCTCACTCTTTACCAGCACTCTATCTACCCAACACAAAAATGCCCACTAAGTCAGGAATTCTCATATAGTGGGCATCTCCCAGGCCAGAGAGCTCAGCTCTCTCCATGCTGGAGGTGAAAGGTTCAAAGGGAGGCCCTGTGCCCACACAAGGAACTCAGTGAATGGCTCCCTGAAGGAAATCTAGACTGAGGAGGATACCAGCTTCTCAAAGGCAGATCAAATTGTTGCAAGAGTGTTCACACCTTCTTCTCACACAGAAGGGCCATGGCTGGCAGACCTCAGGAGTGAGGGGACTTACCTGTCTGGCTCTTCTGATATGCTCATGAGCTGGTGACCTGAAAAGATTTATGGTGGAGACATGAGAGCTGCTCTTCCACTGGCTACACAGTGAATCGCAAGTTCTTGTCCAGTGAACACCATGCCTCATTTTTTTAGTCTTCACCCCAGTTCACCTCTACAAAATCTCAGGACTTTAATTCAGAGATGCCCTATAACTGACATTTCTGTATTTTACAATGTTTTCGTTAGTGGCAGAGCCACAGAATTATGGGCATTTTTATTGATCACTCCATAAGTCCTTGTACACATCACCCTTTTCAAAACACAGAGAACTCGCCTCTGTGATTCCCAATATTCTGTTTAAGGTAAAAACTGCCTTAACATTAAATGCCAGGGCTCTAATGTGATTGACCTCATCTGTCTCATCTCTCCTCTGTGTCTCTTGGTGATTCCATAAAGCTGTGTATTCACAGATAGGGACCTGTGACCATTTCTCCAAGCCAAGGAGTTAGGTCATTCTGCCTAAACCTGATAGGGGGAGATATTGCATCTGGGTTTTTGGGTTTGAGCCAGTTTAGGTAGCTGCAGGTTACTGTTAGGTGAGAGCGTAGGAGCCAGGACAGGAAAAGGACAGTGGAGCAGTTCTTCAACTCATGATGGAGTGTAGAACCTGCCTGATCTGGATTTTCTGAGCTGCTGCACTCTGAAGTCCACCCGAGTTGATGGCTGCCTTGCCACCCGCAATGTGGCGTAACTGAGTGGAATTTTATTTCCTGAGTGTAAAATAAAAAACACAAAGGTTACCATATCTGTTAAATCACAGGAAAAAGGAAGAGGGTGGGCTAGGGGGGGGATAGAGAAAGAAACTTTCAGTGCACACAGTTCATCTCCAGAGTGACAGAGAATAGGGAAAGGGTCATAGAGGGTTTCAAAGCAATTTATTGCCGCTACTTCATCATTACTGATATTTCCAGAGCACAGCGACACCTGCAACAATTCCAGACCCTTTGCTTCCCTCTTGTTGTTGATTTTTTTGTTGCTTTGTTGTTTTTTTTAATGTTGGCTTCACCAGTTCTTTCATCTGCCTTTTATGTGACTTTTTCCCCCACTATATTATTTTTTTGTCTCTGAATTGCTAGAGACCCCCTGGATGCTATACAAGGTGACAGTTCCTGAGCAGTCAAGAAGAAGAACAACAGTCAAATAGAATGACAGCAGCACAACAAAAGGAGGGAAGAGAAGCCCTCCAGAGCTTTAATTTCACTTCCTTTATATTGTCTGCTTGCAGGGGCAATATAAACAGGAGAAAAATGGCAACAGACTGCTTCACTTCTAATGACATCAAACGGTTTGAATCTGATATTGATGGAGAACTTGGAGAAACCACCATCAATTCCTCAATTCTTCCTTTCCCATGGCCCTCCATCTAGAGGAAGCTGTCACCCAGGCATGGAGCAGCAATTTCTTCACCTCTGTCTGTAGTCCTGGAATATCAACTGACATGCACAAGAAAATATAAGGTGAGTTAACATTCCTGCTGTATTGAAGAACTAGCATAAAAGCTCAAGTTTTTTGAGGTTTCATATTTCACATGACCTCCAGCAAACTTACCCTGTTGGAGAGATTCAGTGTTTTTCAAGGTCAGCTGAAGCACTGCCTACATTAAATAAGTTGGCATCAATGCAACTGCATCAATACAGAGCACGTTTTCTTAATGTAGAAAGGGCCTTGCTGTCCTTTCAGGAATGAATCCTGCATATATAGGTCTTTCTGAAGGGAAAACAATGAATAAAACAAATATAGACTTTACAGACATAACATGTTTTCTTCTTAATGGAGGAACCTTTGATGGTGTTGAAGAAACTAGAAAATTTTTATTTTTTTTTTTTACTTTCACAAGATTTCCATTGCTAGACAATGTTTTCCAAATAACATATAATTTTCCCTCAGAAGAATTTTCTGCTGACAAGTGATCTAGTCATGCTGAATTTCAGGAAAACAAAGATGCTTATTGAGAAATTTAGACGCAATTAAAGACTGAGATGTGAAAGGAAATTCACTGTTCCGCCTTGAATGTCCTGACTCACCAGAGGTGTAGGATCCCTCTATTACCAGCTGTGTACAGGAGACCTTCATTGTTTCTTTTGCAGAAGTGATAGGGGAGGATTCAGAATGGGAAGCTGTAGGATCTCTGGATGCCTTTTTAAAAAACTTAAACTTTGCTTCTCCCCCAGAATTTTCTTTCTAAATGGGAGATACAGCCAAAGGGTGGACTTGCCTAGGGTCTGCAGCCTGTTACAGTGGATCAGAAGTTGCTCTTCCCCTTCACCTGCTTTGTATCATATTACTCCACAAGCAGGATTCAGATCCATATTCAGTCACTTGAAAGTGGCTGGTGCCTGGACTGACAAGAGAGAGCAGACTTTATTTAAGTGACTACACTTTTTTCTAGTCCTCTGATTCACAAATCCTAAATGCACTTTCAGACAGCATGAACCAGGGGATGATGAAAACATGTTACCATTGTCATTCTTTTGTTGGCATGGCAGCACTGGAAATGTAACAGTTTTCAATACTACTGATAATTGGAATTTAAGGATCAAGAGGTTGGAGAGTGTTTTTTCAATAATCCTAATAAGTGATGTTGACTGACAATGGGGAAAGCAACATGATGAACTGTAACTACAGTCCCTGGAAAGTCTTCTTGTGTACCACTTATGCACTCCCCATCTTGCACCTCACTGTCAGCTCCTCTTGGCTCAGAGAAGCATCACTGAGGATTGCATTTGCTCAGGAGAGTCTATTTTTTGTTTCCATTCAGGTTGTTTGATGTTCCCTTGCACTTTTTCTCAAAAACAACAGAACTGCATCACATGCTCCTAAATGCACTGACAACCACAGCTTCAGCAGAAGTTTTCTTTATGTGCCCGCTCATTCATAACTGTCAACTTGAATAACAATATCAAAATATTCTCAGATTATCTATTTGATTGGAACAACCAGAGAGAACTGTATGCCAGACATTACTTCACAAGGGAAAGCCAATGTGAATTCTGCTTTGCTTAACTGATCCCTGACTTTGTTATTATGTCTAGCTTAAGCTCAGTGATACTTCAGTAAATATCCTTGCTCTACAGTGCATGTCATGAGACTGGACAGTCATATATCTATCTCATCTAACAGCTCTCACAATGATTCTGTATTTTTAGGAAAAGCTTCATTTTCTGTTGTAGACCACATATAATGGCAACCTGAACCCATCTAATACAACTGCACCATTGCTACTTTGCTCCTCTTGTGTGTGTGTGTGATTGCAACTTTTTTCCCTCCCGGCCTAATGTGTAATTTTCTGGGCCAACAAATCAATGAAGGATTTGGTTGACGGTAGTTTTAGCCCAGTTTCTGTCATGACAATGCTTGGTTTTCCATCCACTTATTATCACAACCTACTCTGTTATTAATAATTGCACGGTTTCTCCAAGTTCTGTAGCTGATGCAAAACGATGACAAGGGATCTCTTCAGTGCAGGTATGTAACCCAGCTTCTGGCTGCCTAGAGGTACTCTGGGTTTTGCTCCCTTCCTCTGTGGCAATTTTGATATTAGAGTGACTGAGTGAGTACCTTCTTCCTATCTCTGTGATGTGTGTGTACAGAGAAGATGATCTTCTGCAATTTGGTTTATCTCCTGCTAAAGCAGACTATGCGCCAGGTAACTGCTTTTCACAATGCCATCCAATCACTCGTGTTGACACTCTGGTGTCACCTTTGTGACAGCTACTTCATAGAGATAACAGAATGCTGGTAGCCAATTAGATTTTGCTGATAGTGATACCACAGAGTCTGTCCAAGGGGGAGACTGTGCACACTCACAGCTTGACAATAATAATATAATTGAAATGGCAAAGCCCAGAGAGGCTAATGTAGGAGCCTATTATAGGTAGCTGCATATGTACAGCCCTATAGTGGCATACAAGGGACTGGACAGTCTTTGGGACTCTCAACTCAAGCCATTCATACCGGCAAACTTTAAAAGTGTTAGTCTGGTCACAAATCATTTTCAGAAAATTAACTAAGAAGAATGAGCTTCATGGCTGACATCTCTTCTCCTGCAGGAGACAGGGGAGCAGCCATCCTGTCCACATTGCACTTGCTTTTCACAGGAAAGCAGGAACTGCTCTGTGCCATGTCCCCAGATGGCAAGCAGGTAATTTTCTCTCGTGCACCTCTCGTAAAGGCAGCAGGGAAATGCAAGAGGCTGCAAGCAGCACAATTTTTCTGGCCACCGCAAGAGCCCTGTGTGCTGAGTCACCTCACACGTACTCAGGGAACAGCCAAGCGTGGCCGCTCAGACTGGGTGTTCTAAATCATTGTAACCTTTTGCAATGTTTTAAGTTTGCTACTTTAAAAAAGAATAAATCTATTTCGTTTCTACTTCTGAATTTCTTCTTTATACTCTGGTGCGCTCTTTGCGGAAGTAAGAACTATAGACATGTACTCTGGGGAGACGGGTTATTTCTCTAGAATGGAATGAAAAATATTCCCCAAGGTTTTTCTGGAATAGGGATGAAAATGCTGGCCCTCTGCCTTTGTTATTCTCTTGCATCCTTTTCTCTACAAAAGAGGAATGCACCCTCTCTTGCAATTAATCTTCATGATTCCAATGGTAGGTGAAGGTATTTCCAGTTACTTGCTCTTGGCTTGAGGAAGTCCGAAATTAACTGTCCAAATCAGGTCATCCATCTGGAAAAGCTTTTCCGAAGCTTTTCTAAACCCTCTGTTAAGTGCTTTATATCCAACAACTGACATGGAAAAACCTCCATGTGCTTCCTCATGTGCACATCCACTTCCCTTGCAATCTTCATTGCTCCCGTGTGCACAGTTCCCACGTGTAGAGTTGCACATGAGTATGGATGGTATAGGTGGTTGTGTGCCCCCCTCTCTGACTCACCCAGGCAGGTTTTTATCCTGGCTTTTGAAATCACACCAAAGCTTGTTTGTCTTCATCAGCCCTGGCAGATAAATCATATTCACAGTAATGCAGCTGCACTCATGGCTGACAATGGGGTATATTTTTCATAGTGTGGTAAAGGCAAGAGTCCTCCCGCTTCCCTGTAAATTGAGTAGTGTCTCTGTTTCGAATGATGAGATGAACAAACAGACACAGTGATCTGGGGCATGTGCTAGATGGAGCTGCTGCTCATGCTCAAGGTAGCCTGTACCATGCCTCTTCACTGCCTGAAAGGCTTCTGACTCCAAGCTGCTTTCTTACAGAGCCTTGCCCTATATTCTGCTTCTCTTGTGCGATATTTTGAAATTTTCATGTTAAAATTAACGTTTTTCCTCTGCTGGTGGGGAAAGTATCACTTTTGTTTTTGTATGGAGGATTTGAAGGCCTTGGTTATTTTGAAGACAGGGGCAAGTGAGTATTTTTCCATGTTGTCACTTGAGGGCTGGAGTGACTTGGGACACGTGCTCATGAGGCCAAGCACAGAGCTTGGGTTATGGTTATCCTGCAGTCATACAGTTGCTAACATCCCAGTTGCTTTATCCTCCCCTAAACACTGATTTGTGTTTTGCAGGGTATGTGCCTATCACAGAGAGAGCTGAGTAAAGGGAGGTGTTCTGGGTTTAAGTTCATCTCAGAGAATTTAAATGAAAAGTATGTCTTAGAGCTGTAACCTCACAAACAGGTGAGAGGTTTCCAGAGTCCCATTATACAGGCAGAGAGGATGGGTGACCTTGATCTGTGCTCTTCTCCATGCTGGCAGAAGCTGCACTGCCTCCCAGCTACCTCTCAACTTCACCATACCCGTATTCCCCACACAAAGCCCTTCCACACAGGATAAAGCTGGCACACAGCAATTTCAGGCAGGGCTGTTTGCAGCACGAGAGGCATGTGAGCTCAAACACACCCCGAAAAGGAATCTATGCTTTTCCAGGCATATAATAAATGTGAGAAGGGGTGAAATGCCGTGGGTAAATGGCCCAGACTGCTACTCTGCTCTCAGACATAAGGTACTGGGACCAACACCAGGTGGGTAGCTGTGTGTAATCCTGCTTTAAATGTGAAGGCAGAATGCAGATTATAGTGCTGAGTGCTCTGAGGCACTACTGCTCTGCTATTTCCAACATTGTGTGCTTGGGGAAATTGAAGGAATACTGGGATCCCGTCCATTCTCCATCTGTAAGGGGAAGGAAGATGCAGAGATACTCGGTCCAAAAAGTGGGTCCAGAGCAAGGGGGTCATGGAGAAAATTGAGAAGGGAGAGACACTACCCTTCCCCCAAACTGGGGGTGGAGGGTAGCTGAGCAACAGAAACCTGTCAAGATAGTAACTAATAACAATTAATAATTTATTGTACATCAAATAGCTCTTTTCCTCCTGGTTTCCAAAAGCTCTTTACAGACTATATATAGCGACTGCATTACAGTGTGGTATGCACTTTTCAGCAGCATGGTTTAGGAAAAGCCCTGCTGCTGAGGCACAGTGGAGCCCCATCAGCCCAGAGGAACACTAGGAAAAGATTTTCACCCTCAATCCTGCCTGCTTTGCTGTTTAAAAGAAAAGAATAAAAATAAGTGCTCTGGAGCAATCATTTGATGAGTAGAAAGAAGGCAGAGCATTGTACGGATGTTATTTCTTCCTGCCTACGAAGACAGGCTGTCCCAATAAATTCAATTGCATAGACATTGAGAGAAGGAGGACGGGGGTTGAAGGAAACAAATGCATTTTAGAAAGCCTATGATAATGACTTAAAATTGCTTTTGTTCATAATTGCAATTTTAAGAGCTGACATCTAGTGATAAGCCAAGTGCTAGATGTTGATGGCTCATAGAACATAGGGTCTTAAATACTGGCTGTTACACTAATTCTTATCTATCCTTGGACTTCTTCAATTCAGAAAGAGGATGATGTTGCTTCTAAGGCAGTTGGGGGAGGGTGAATTAAGAGCAACACATGTGAATACCCAAAAAAAGAGCAGGTCTGCTGACAGACACACTGTCCTGCATTGTACCATTTTCTCACTGCATCTGAATTTGTCTCTGCCCCAAAGTGCTGTCTTCACCTCCCTGAAGGGACACACAGAGCAGGCACCTGAAAGAGCCCAGCACTACAGCAGAGGAGGTACAGGAGCATATGCCTGCCTGAGAGGACTGCAGGCAGTGTAATCCATGTAAAAAAGCAATTAAAAGAGCTGAGCAAACAAATGATAAATAATGTAGTAGGAGTTGGTATAATGAACCTCCTTAGGAAAGCTGGCCCATAGGCCAGCCTCGAGTTCCCTGAACCTGAGCAGGAGAAACCCCACCTCTTACAACCACCCAGTGCATAAAGTCACTTTGGAGGAGCAATTAGGGAAGAAGCTGCTTACTCCATTGCTGTTCAATCATGTGCTGTTAAGTTTAGGGGGGTGATGGGAAACCCCAGTGGACTGACTGAGGCTGCTTTTTGTAAGTGAAAGCTTGCTTATGTAAATGTGTTTAAGAGGTGCCTTTCAGTGAAACTGTTTGCTACATTTCCTGAAAAGAGCTAATGGAAAACCTCTCCTTAGAGATGATGCAGTTAGGGCTGTGTTATGGATTTCACCTGTGAATGCCTGAAATTCAGGTGACCAGCTACAGAGATTATCTCTTCAGGGTCTGGTCCTATTAGTTTCAAATGCTGAACTGTCAGGAGACCTCCCATTTCCTGCTTGTTTTATTAGGCTTTGATAGACACGTAGTGCTTTGAGTGCATTTTGGGTTGTAATTCTTGCCAAGGTCAGTTGCAAAGATAATATCATGGGATTTTCTTGTTTTTTCCCTTTTTTCCTATGCTTAGATTTATAATTATGAAGTTCTCCATTCCTGTGGAGAAACTGATTTTGTTGTGGAGCTTGCAGTTACTATTAGCAATAAATGGTCCTCACAACTTTGTGCCAAAGGGAGTGAGAATGAACTGATGTTGGAAAGAGATTAATGGAAAAAAAGTGGCCTGGCTTGAAAATCTCACCTAAACTCCTGTTCAGTTTGTGCTTGGGAGGGGGGCAATGAAATTTTGTGTCCCAGCTGCAATCCTTGTATACTGCTCTTGCACCAGCCTTGAGGTTTTGGTAAGAGGGCATGGATCCCCCCATGTCCTGGAAAATAATGAAGAAAACTGGAGCAGTTCACCCCAACTTCTCCTGCCAGGCTGTGTTCCTCAGGGAAGGACAGGAAACATCACTGAGTATTGGAAAGTAGGCTATGGGAGGCTGCAGTCAGGTGAAATATCAGTTTCTATGTGATGCAACTAGTGAAAACAATGGCACATGACCAAGTAATTCCCAGGACAGTGTCCTCTGCCTTGTTTAACTGGGTAGTCCAATCTGGGCACTGCCATTTGATTTTTTTGTGGTGCTGACACCTCCCCCCCAAATACTGATATACCTAACATGATTATGATGTTTACTGTCAGTGGGATAAGCATCTTAGGGTGGGTTTTCTCTGTATTTACACCATCCCTTATGATCTCATCTGGGGTTGAAACCTATTTCTGGGTGAACTTATCCCCCAGGATGCAGCACCCCTTTGGCTGTGGTCCTCTATGCCTTGCATCCCTCCTCACTCAGCTGTAACCTGCAAGGCCTCCACTGACACATCTTGTGGCAGCTGCTGTCTGCTCCAGCACTTTCCTGGAGAAGGGAGATATTTCAGCCCTTCCCTTCATATGGAGCAGAGACTCCCAAAGGGTGGA